ACTAGTGTATAATCCCACTAGCAGGATAACAGAAATGAACCGGTTCTATCAGTAACATGTCGACATGTGCTAGCGTTTATAAACCTCCCACTAGCAGGCACAATAATAACATGACCATATCGGAGACAAAACAGACAGAAGTTAACAGAAAAATCATAATTCACCAATCAATTTCAAATCATCAGGACAATCAATTAAATCTCAAGTAGGCATGCTCACTTTAATGAAAAGCATAAAAATTGCACTTCAAATCAGTCATACTTACTTTTACATAAAACAGTTTAGTCCCGCCACCACTTCAAAAATAAATCAAAACATGCTTTTAAAAATTGTACTAGCATTATCATAAATTTACTTACCTCAAATCGTATAAAATTGGAAAACTCAACCTCAGTGCTAACTAACAGAACGATCGATAACATAATCAAAATATCCAAGAATTAATTCTATACTATCACAAATTCAAAGTGAAACTTCATTAGGACTATCCCTAATCACAATGTTATTTCTATTAGTCTCCATATGACCAGACATCTCCACATTTATTCTTATATTACAAACTAAACATTTAATCCCCGTTAATTGTTGGGCATTAGTGCGTGACCAGTATTTGTGAACAGTGCCGTGAACAGTAACTGCAATTCCAAAAATCGACCAAAACACTAGCTAATTCATGGGATTTTCTCTCCAAAAATCACAGCAGTCAATTAACACTCAATCACATAAATTCCACTTGAATCAATGCTTAAACTTTATCCTAAAGCTACCAGAATTATCCCCCTAATTTAGTAAAATTCGAACAGCACATGGGGCATCAATTTATCAACCAATTTTCGAGAATTAGAGAAGCCAACCTACCAGAATTTTCCAGTTGCAGAATCGGACATGGCAGGGGAAAGAGGCCGCCGGCAATCTGCAGGGGACTCACGGGAACTACCCAAAATTCAAGAACCAAGAGCAATTAAGGTAAATCAAGGCTAAAAGGATGGATTAATGGCTGTTCTTACCGAAAAAATGCCCAGAAATCACCCACAATCAAGAGCAGCCGGCGGTGAGGAAGGAAGGAGCAGAGCAGATCCAGAAATTCCAACAGGGGGAGAAGGTTTCTAAGCTCAAATCTTGTTCTTGAACAAGAAAAGAAGGCAAAAATCATCAAGCTTCACCGGTTTCTCAAGAGGAAGAGGTGTCGGGGCTGGGCTTCTTTTGTTCGGCTGTAGGGGGATGAGAAAGAAGAGCAGACGCGCGGGCTGAAGAAGAAAGAAAGAAGGAAAAAAAAGAAAAAGAAAAGAAGCTGATCCTTATCCAAAATTTCCCTCTTTAAGTCCCTCAAGTGTGGACATTTTGGCTATTAAGCCCAAAACAATATTTTTCCACAATTTAATCCTTAACTTAATGCTAAAATATAACAAAATTTTGGGGTATTACATCCACCCCTCCTAAAAAGGAGTTTTGTCCCCAAAACTCAAATTGGGGATCATCTAGATTGGTGAATGGCTTCACACAATCCGAGACAAAACAAATGCCCCACCGACTTTCTATGAACAGAACACGACTTACTATGCTTTCGATGCGCCACTTTGATGTCAAACCACAACTAATCATAAAAGCAGGACATTAACTACTTAACAAGATTTACCATGAAACAAGCTATTGGAGGCTGGGGTGATATGGGAAGCACAAGGAATAAAAATAAATCCTACCAAAGCCACAAAAGAACAGCTGTGGGGTTACGATATGAACCCAACACAAAACGAGTTAGCAAAGAATGGCATGGATTTAAAGACGAGTACAACAAAACTTTGAACTCTATCAAAGACGAATAAGCATCCGATGGATATATGGATCATGAATGAATGAACGAGTGCATGGATGCCTTATAAATTCTGTCACAAAACAAGGTTAAACAATAAGCAAGGTCATGTTTAACAAAGCAACTGGAATTAAGAGACAAATTTTAGCAATTAACAAGAGTTAAAAGCTAGACCCATCAAATGACATGCAAAATTTCCAAAATAGCACCAGAATGAAATCAGTGAAAAATATGAATGCTTGGAAGAATACTAAAACATAAGAGTGCAAGGTAGAATGCCTCAAAAATTCAGCAACAAAACGACATTCACCAAGAATCAAGATCAAATTTAACTAAGCAGTCAAATTGAGAGACAAGAGTTAACCATGAAACAAGCAATAGAATTCAAGGATTAGGCCCACAAAAGAGATTTCAATAATGACAATGAGAACAAGGATTCAAGAGCAGATATAACCACGATGTCAAGATCTAACACCCCAAGTAACACAAATTAATTAACAAAACAAAGCAATGGCTGGGATCAAGATGCTTAAAAGATTCATGTCTTCTAGTTAAAAGGGCAAACAAAATCAAAGCAGCCAGATAAAAGAACCATTTCTCTGGGAACAAAACTTTAGGGCATCAGGTACTTCAAAGACTACCTCTTCACCTCGTAGCCCATGGAGGTTAAGCAGATTTACAATCAAGTCATCCTAGACATCCTAGAGTCAAGTCAACACTAAGACGTCAAGAATACAGAGATTAACACTTGCAAGAGACAAGAATTAGGATGCCTCATATAGGTGTTTTCTAATAATCATCACCCCTCCTAAAGAGGTGTCCATATGAACAAAAATCAAGAAGATCAACAGGTATACTAAAACAAGAACTAGCAGAATATGCAAGATTTGAGCAAGAGCAGTATACAGAATTCGAACAAGAGCAGGGTCCAGACAAGAATGGTTTTCAAGGACAATTCAAAGTAGATTCCAAAAACCAAATATCAATGGATTTTCAAGAAAAGGATGCTAACATGACTTTACTCCAAACAAGGTTCGAGATAAGATTCCAAAAACAATGCAAGAATTAATTTCAGACAAGTATCAAGATAATGAGGATTTCAATAATCATTATCCATTTCCTTTGGATTTCAGTTTCAAGAACAAGTACAAAGCAATCTCAAGAAAGATTCAAGACGGATTTCAAGAGTTTCAAGCAATTTTCAGGTATCAAGAATGTAGAGACTGGCAACAATAGAGACTTTAACTTTATGATAGCTTGCCAATCTTCACAAAAACATGGCAATTTCAATTAAATTGATCACTGTTTTTGATTAACCAATATAGAAAAATGAGCCACATGAAAAGACCATGAAGTTCCAATGGAAAAAGTGAAACTTCACTATAAGACTTTCAGAAAGATAATGAGCAGTGAAATTACCAAGTTATCCAGCTCCTAAAACGCATCTAGAAAACACTCAACATTTGCTAAAATAGCCTTGAATCTCTTACAAAGTAGAGGGTTTGCCCATCTTCCACTGGTCATGTGACAAACAGAACAAATTTCTCAACCAGCTATGCTGTAGAGACCAACATGATCAATAACAAAAGATCTCTGCAACTCCTTAGACTTTACAATTGTGGCAAAAGAGCATACAAAAATTCTATTCATGTAACAAGTCTAAACAAGTGCGGACTATCATAAAATGACCAAGTTTCAAAACAAGGTCTTAAGAACATGGCGGACAAGATTAATTTCATGAATTTACAAAGGGTATGAAGGCAGGAAACGAGAACAATCGGATTACCATCTCATCAAAATGGATTAGAAAATTCAGGCAACATGAATCGGATTCGTCCCTTATATAACCCCATCACTCGTCTCACCACGGTTCTAAAATCAATTGGCCAGCCAAGTCCAAAACAAATCCTAGGTATTTAATTAAACCTAGGTATTTAATTAAATCTAAGCTATGATACCACTCAATCTGGAGGTGCTTAATTTAATCCCAAGTTCTTAATTTCAACCTAAGCTCTGATACCACTAAATCTGTCACGCCCCAGAACCCAAATCCGAGGCGCGACAAACGCCGTGCACTCATGAGAGGGTCCCACAAATGCACAAGGTTCGGAACTTATCCAATTCACATCTGATACCACAAAATCTGAAGATCAAATTTTATAATTTGCTATAATATCATAAATCTCCAATAAAGTCTAGTTTATAAGATCATGATTTATTTCTAAAATCTAAGTTCACTTTACAAGATGGCTAGCCTTTTAACTCGTCATTTCCCGTGGTTTCCCCATCCTCGGTTTTGCTTCCTGAAATGGTGGACAAGGAAAACTATGAGATAAACTCAGCAAGTAAATATGGAGTGCCCTTAATTAAACTTATAGCATGCCAACAAGTGCAATCACGAAAAACGGATACAGTACGGGAACGAAATAGACGTCTCCTCTATAGGTCACGGCCAGTGTTATAAACCTCCCATTGACAGGCACACGATTTACTAGTGTATAATCCCACTAGCAGGATAACAGAAATGAACCGGTTCTATCAGTAACATGTCGACATGTGCTAGCGTTTATAAACCTCCCACTAGCGGGCACAATAATAACATGACCATATCGAAGACAAAACAGGTAGAAGTTAACAGAAAAATCATAATTCACCAATCACTTTCAAATCATCAGGACAATCAATTAAATCTCAAGTAGGCATGCTCACTTTAATGAAAAGCATAAAAATTGCACTTCAATCAGTCATACTTACTTTTACATAAAACGGGTTTAGTCCCGCCACCACTTCAAAAACAAATCAAAACATGCTTTTAAAAACTGTACGGGTATTACCATAAATTTACTTACCTCAAATCGCATAAAATTGGAAAACTCGATCTCAGTGCTAATTGACAGAACGATCGGGAACCTAATTAAAATATCCAAGAATTAATTCTATACTATCACAAATTCAAAGTGAAACTTCATTAGAACTATCCCTAATCACAATGTTATTTCTATTAGTCTCCATATGATCGGACATCTCTACATTTATTCTTATATTACAAACTAAACATTTAATCCCCCGTTAATTGTTGGTCATTAGTGCATGAACAGTATTTTGAACAGTGCCATGAACAGTAACTGCACTTCCAAAAATTAGCCAAAACACTAGCTAATTCACGGGATTTTCTCTCCAAAAATCACAGTAGTCAATTAACACACAATCACATAAATTCCACTTGAATCAATGCTTAAACTTTATCCTAAAGCTACCAGAATTATCCCCCTAATTTAGCAAAATTCGGACAGCACATGGGGCATCAATTTATCAACCAATTTTCGAGAATTAGAGAAGCCAACCTACCAGAATTTTCCAGCTGCAGAACTGGACATGGCAGGGGAAAGAGGCCGGCGGCAATCTGCAGGGGACTCACGGGAACTACCCAAAATTCAAGAACCAAGAGCAATTAAGGTAAACCCAAGTTAAATCAAGGCTAAAAGGATGGATTAATGGTTGTTCTTACCGAAAAAATGCCCAGAAATCACCCACAATCAAGAGCAGCCGACGGTGAGGAAGGAAGGAGCAGAGCAGATCCAGAAATTCCAACAGGGGCGAAGGTTTCTAAGCTCAAATCTTGTTCTTGAACAAGAAAAGAAGGCAAAAATCATCAAGCTTCACCGGTTTCTCAAGAGGAAGAGGCGTCGGGGCTGGGCTTCTTTTGTTCGGCTGCAGGGGGACGGGAAAGAAGAGTAGAAGCGCGGGCTGAAGAAGAAAGAAAGAAGGAAAAAAAAGAAAAAGAAAAGAAGCTGATCCTTATCCAAATTTTCCCTCTTTAAGTCCCTCAAGTTTGGACATTTTGACTATTAAGCCCAAAACAATATTTTTCCACAATTTAGTCCTTAACTTAATGCTAAAATATAACAAAATTTTGGGGTATTACAAGGTCAAACTTGGACTCGGGTAGTTTCCACATCACTAAAACCTACCTTGATCTAAGCGCCTATTAATGCCCTCAACATGCATTTATTGAAAGGCCTAGCAATATCTGATGTTGTAATACATGGCTAAGCCCAACAGTATCTAATGCTATAGTACATGGTTGCATCATCAAAAATATGTAAGAAAGTCTTTTTCTTTTATTATTTCCTTATTTATTAAATTTCATCATTTTCATCAACTGATCACTATTCATTTATGCAGGTCATCAATAAACCCATGAATCCAAGCTCATAGGGATATTTGAGATAAATTATGGGAGTAGTGGCTTGGCAGGCATGGATGGATGAACATTACCTATCTGGCAAAGCGAGGTATTCGTGTTAGTGAAGCTTTGCATTGGCGATGTTGCTTGACTTCGCCAAAAAATGCTGGGTGGCGAAGATGTGGAGGCACATTTGATCCCCAAAATAATACCATTTGATGCTAACTAGAAGCTTAAAATCTTGTTCAAAACTAACCAAAGATGTTGTCTTGGTCATCATTAGCAACCTACAATTGTATTCAATGCAAAGGTGGCTGCACAAGTTCCATAGCCTCGGGAATTGTTGAAAAAGATCACATTTTGTTTGGGAAATCTTCCAAAGTCTTGGGTAGACCTTGGGAATCTTCCAAAATCTTCACCAGATCTGATTTTGCTGGTTGCACTCTAGTAAACCCTCCAAAAATTGTATTTTGTATGGCTGGAGAGTTACCAAAAATAAATAGTCTTCAGTCGATTAACAATACTTCAGTGGAACTGGGGGTGCTTCGTTGGAATTGGTGGTGCTTCGTTGGAACCACTAGGTAATTCATAATATCACTGCCAAAAAGCTGTCAGTAATGCCCAAAGCCACTCAAAACTCAATAGCTCACCCAAATCTACTCATTAGGCCACTGTGCATCTCTGACCCATCAATTAGAAATTACAAAAATGCCACTGTATACATATATATTATTTTTCTTTATTTTTCAGTAGAACATACCATATTTTTCACAACTTCAACTTCCCTCTAACATACTAGACCTCCCTTCTTCCTCTGAAAAATACTTCATCCTAACTTACTCACTCTACACACTGAAATTACCCAGAAATCACCATTTTCTTCATATTTTATGTATTTCCAACACTGTAGAATAATTTCTAAAGTTGCAAAATATCATGGCTGGAAGACGGCATTCTACAGCTTCAATTTTTGGGTTATTTTCTTGAGCATTATAGGATCAAGCTGAAGAGTTAGCATAAAAAACGAGAACAAGCTCTCCATTCACAAGCCCTTACAATGGTCATCTTTCCTTCTCCCATCACTACTTTCAAGTTTATTCCTTTTGTCTTGTTAAAGCTTAAAAGAGATCATTGTGCTTTTTATCTACAATGTGAGGGTTGCTTATTATAGAGTAGGAGTATTTGTCAAGGATAATAGAGGGCAAATTCATTATTTTTGCTATTGTGCTACAATATACTATGCATAAATGTGCTTCTCAAGTTGTAATTTTTAACCCTCATATATTTTTATCCTTGTTGCTTTTACAGCAATGTACACTTCATTTTCATTATTTTTGGTAGTTGTGTAATCATTCTCATTATCTTGGGAGCACCATTGACACCCACTCTTTTTGGCTTGGCTGAGGACACTCTATTCCCAAACTTTGCCAAAGAAGCTCTATTTCCAAACTTCACTGGAGAAGTGCTATTTTTGAATTTCGTTGGAGAAACTCTATTTCCAAACTTCGCTGGAGAAACTCTACTTCTAGACTTTGCTGGGGAATTTGTTGTTGACCAACATCATTGGACATCTTGGAACTCTGTCATTGTTGCTAGCTTTCCCTTTTGGCTTGGCTGGAAAACTTACACCTTTAAACTTTGCTGGGGAATTTACTATTGACCAACATCGTTGGGCAGAACAAGACAACCCGTGGCATGTAGCCTCTTGCACGTGAAATGGGTGCTGCCAAAAGGACCCTTCTCATTTTTCATGGGTGGCATCCTAGTCAGCCTCCACATTATCTCCACTGCTGACTCATTATCCTACATTACTAGCACACCCCTACAATATGTATACTGTTGTATAAACTATTTTCCTTATTAGTCTTATTATTTTTTTTTATGAATTTTCTATAAAAGATATGATGATTGTTTTTTTTTTTTTTGAGAGAATTTTGTAATTTTATCTACTTGAATTTTATGCATTCTTTTCTTTTTAGATTATTGATGGTTTGAATCTTTTTCTTTTTTGGATGTGTGGTAAGGACAAAACTTTATTCATGGGATTGGAGTTCATTGAGCAATAATAGTATTGATTCATACATTAAACTGAACAACAAAAGTATGAATTTGATAAAGATCAAGTTATATGAAAATATTGCATTTTTTTTGTAAGATATTATGTTTTTTATTTTATTTATATTATATTATTATTAACTTTTTTATCCTTTTAAATATAAATTTCACTTCACATTCCTTCTAAATTATATATATATCCGATATTATTGTCATATGTAGTTGGGAATATGCATTCAATTGCACTAAAATTTCATTCAAATAACTTTCTTTTTGTAACTTTAATTTGAGCACTTTTATTAATATATTAAAATAGTTTGTAATATAAGTTAAAGGAATAAAATAGGAATGGACAAAAATGATAGGAAATTGGAAATGAGAGAAGGGATAAGAAAAATAACCATAAAACAAAATTTTGCAAGTTTAGCAATTATAAAAGAAAGAGTTGGTAAAGACTAATGTAGAAAAAAAAGAAGAAGAAGAAGATAGAATTGTTAAAGACTTTCCCTTATAGAATTGTTAACCCTTATTTTATATAACTTCATATGAATCTTGCGTATTAAGAATATATATGGTTCAATTTTTTTATTAAAATAATAGTTAATATTTTTTAACCTCAATTTTAATGGATTGTAAATTTGATTAAGTAAAGATTAAAAATAGCTAAGGAAGATGAAAAAAAATAATAAAAGTATAAAAAAATCATTTGATTATTAGACTAACAACTAATAAAAATTATATATAAAAAAAGAAAATCAAAAGGCAAAACTTTCTTAGATTAACTATTTATATTTATATTTATATCTATATCTATATCTATTTATCTATATCTATATATTATACAAAATGTTGCACTCAAGTATTAATTAGGCACTAAAATTTGTTATTTTTATTTTAATTATAAAAAATATATTTTGTTAAAAGTTAAAAAGAATATTTTGTTAAAAGTTAAAAAAAAATAGTATTTTTACATTCAAATGTAATAAATATACATATTAATAATATTAGTTTTACTTTTTAATCTTCTCATCTTATTCTCTTCCACTTCTACTTCCACTTCTCTTCTTAATATTCTTAATTATTTTACTATTATTAACTTTCATTACATACATAATGAATGAATTAAACCAAAGGAAGATGAATAGATGCCTAATTTTTATGGAGAATAAAAACATATGATTATAATTTCATTCATCAACATTTATAACACTATTATAACACTTTTATTCATTATTTATTTTTATCATTTTTAATTTTTTTCACCTCATGCAAATTTTTTTTTTGGTTGGAAAAAAATGTGCATGAGGAAGTGAGATATGAAAAAGCTTGACAATGAAGAAGATTTTTGTATGAATTGCTTAATTTTGTTTCATATATAATTTTTTTTGTTTTATCAAAAATATTTTTTAAAAAATAGAATATATATATGTATTTGTTTTGAATGTAGATGTGCCAAAGAATATGATGACGATGATGCAAAATAAGTGTTTCGATGAATGAATCAGAAATATATAAAATTTGAGAAAAATCCATATTAGTTCATCAATTTTTATAAATGTCAAAATCAGTCAAAGAAAATTTGATTCCTTTTTATTTAATTATTTTGGATTACATATATATACTTTATTTTTATTTTTCTTAACACATATTTTGAAATTGCTATTTAATAATAATAATAATAATAATAATAATAATAATAATAATAAGAACAACAAAAACAATAACAACAATAACATCAACAATAATAAAAATTAATGTATAAATATGTACTAAAACAATATTAAAGCTATCCTTGCAATTTCCCATTAAATGGGATTAACATACATTTTTATCCAAATATTTGATGTATATTAAATCAGTATATTCATTATTATTTTCCATTACATGTATATTAAATCAAGGGAGAACAACTTAAGCAATGAAAAATATTAATTCATAGAATACTAATCATACTTAAAAAAAAGTGAATGCTTAAGAATATTAAACATTGTAGGGAAAAAAAAATAGAATGTTGTAAATGAGTTTAGGTTTTTTCAATTCTTGATAACAAAATCTTAAAGTTTTTTCAATTCTTAACAACAAAATGTAAATGATCTAATCGAAAGATTTTTAATTCAAAATTTAATTGTAATATATATATATGTTTGTATTACTTACTTTAAGTTATGTTTTAAAAAGGTATATCAATTTTTTAATATAATGCTGATAAAGGAACATTAAAATGATCTCGTGTAATGCACATACAACACACAAATATTTGATCTTATTTAAGTGTATTGTAGTTTTTTTATTGAGAAAAGAGAGAATATTGTTTAGATCTTCAAATAGAATAATAGTAGCAAAAAGAACATGTATATTTAAATTATGAGATTAAGATGAAAATTGATTGTTTTTTAAATTCTCTTAATATTCCTTTTTTTAATGTGATTATAGACAATTATTTTAAAAAATATTCTTATTAATTACTAAACACAATTTTCAACTCAACTTTAATTACTTAATTAAAATTTTTTAATTAAAAATCATTGTAAAACTCAAAAATTGATAAATAAAAATAAAAATTCTAAATTCTAATACAAAAAATTAAAGGAAAACCTGTGCAACACACGGAAAAAAAAAGCTAGTTCCTTAATATTTGACATCTTCTCCTACTTAAAAGCTTTTATTATGCAATTGAGTGTAGATTGGATTATATGAGAAGGGACTCGTTTGTTATTCTCATGCAAATTTATTAATATTATATTTAGTGTCACGCCCCAGAACCCAAATCCGAGGCGTGACAAACGCCGTGCACTTGTGAGAGGGTCTCACAAATGCACAAGGCTCGGAACTTATTCAATTCACATTTGACAATCCAATAACTTAAATCCAATATTTCAAAATAATTCTATGTCCAACATGACTTAGGCTCAAAATCTCAAGGTAAAATCTATTTTACAAAAGCATGATTTATTTCTAAAATCTATATCAATCTCGAAATGGCTAGCCTTCTAACTCGTCACTTCCCGTGGTTTCCCCGTTCTTGGTTTCGCTTCCTGAAATGGTGGACAAGGAAAAACTATGAGATAAACTCAGTAAATAAATATAGAGCACCTTTATTTAAACTTATAGCATGCCAACAAGTGTAATCACAAAAAACGAATACAATACGGGAATGAAATCGACGTCTCCTCTATAGGTCATGGCCAGTGTTATAAACCTCCCACTGGCAGGCTATAGTATTTGCTGGTGTATAACCCCCACTAGCAGGGTCACTTGAACGAACCGATTTTATCAATAACATGTCGACATGTACTAGCGTTTATAAACCTCCCACCAGCGGGCACAATAATAACATGACCATATCGGAGACAAAACAGGCAGAAGTTAACAGAAAATCATAATTCACCAATCACTTTCAAATCATCAGGACAATCAATTAAATTTCAAGTAGGCATGCTCAAATCAATAAAAAGAATAATAATCTTATTTCAAATCAATCATGCTCATTTTTGTATAAAACGGGTTTAGTCCCACCAGCACTTCAAAAACAAGTCAAAACATGCTTTTAAAAATTGTACAGGCATTACCATAAATTTACTTATCTCACTCGCATAAAACCGAAGACTCGATCTCAGTGCTAAACTGACAGAACGATCAGGAACATAATCAAATATCCAAGGATTAATTCTATACTATCACAAATTCAAAGTGAAACTTCGTTAAGATCACCCCTAATCACGATGCTATTTCTATCAATTTCCACATGATTGAACATCTCCAAATTTGTTCTTATATTGCAAACCAAACATTTAAATCCCCGTTAATTGTTGGCCATTAGTTCGTGAACAGTGCCGTGAACAGTAACTGCACTTTCCAAAATTGACAAAACACTAGCTAATTTCACGGGATTTTCTCTCCAAAAATCACAGCAGTCAATTAACACTCAATCACATAAATTCCACTTGAATTAATGCTTAAATTTTGTCCTAAAGCTACCGGAATTCCTCCCCAATTTTCAGCCAAATTCGGACATCACAAGGCAGCAAACTAAATGGATAAAAATCCAGACTGGGAGAGCTGCTACCTACCCAAATTTCCGGCCAGCAAACCGGGTCTAGCGAGCTTGGCAACCGGCGGGAGTTGGAGGGGAAGCCAACGACAGTGTAGGGGGAATTTCTGCAGGGAACTCATGGGATTAACCCAAAATTTAAGGAACCCAACTTAAATCAAAGCTAAAAGGATGAAATCATGGTTGTTCTTACCGAAAAAAGCCCAGAATTTCGCATCACCAGCTGCAGCTCACGGACAGGGGAGGGGGAGAAACCGAGCAGATCTGGAATTCCTTGCTTTAGGGAGGATTTCTAAGCTCCTAAATCTTGTTCTTGGACAAGAAAAGAAGGGAAAAACCAAGCTTTCTCACTGGTTTTTCAAGGGGAGGCTGTCGGGCTTGGGGCTTCTTTTTTTTTTTGGCTGCAGCGGGAAGAAAGAAGAGCAGAAACGCGAAATGGCTGGGGAGAAAGAAGGAAAAAAATAGCTGATCCTTATCCTAAAATTTTCCCCCTTTTAAGCCCCTTAAGTTTGGAAATTTTGGCTATTAAGCCCAAAACAATATTTTTCCACAATTTAGTCCTTAACTTCATGCTAAAATATCACAAAATTTTGGGTATTACATTTAGATATACTAATTTTATTTAGTTTAATTATTAAAATAAAGAATTATTATGTAATATAAACTAAAAATAAGAATAGTTTAAAATTGTTTGGCTTAATACCACTAAAAATCTTCCAACTTTGCAAAAAATAGTCATTATTATCATTCTACTTTGAAACAGGTCATAAAAATCCTTCAACTTCTAAAAAAGAGCCAAGCATCTAGGGATGTTCGTGATGTGATTTAGTATAAATTTTAATATTTTTTAAATCAATCTGATTTAATTGGTTAGTAAAAGTTTTAAATCAAGCTAATCTATTATTTTATGATAATTAAATCAATCCAACTTAAATTGGATTAGTATGGTTAGGTCAAATTGATCTATTTTTAAGACTATTAAGTATATGAGATAATGTAAAAAGTTTTAACATATAGAAAACATAACTATAAAATACATTAACATTCAAATCAATATAAATATAATAAAATACATAAATTATAAATAAGTTTTTATACTCCTTTATAATTTTAAAAATTGAAAAGATCTGAAAATTCTTCTTGGCTACATCATCATAGGCACCAAAAATGATAAAAGATGACTTTAAGTTTTAAATACATTGCAAGTAATTCTTAAAGATTAAAATTAGTTTTCTTTTTTAATGCACCAAATGATTCAATCTTATTTTCTAAACCCTGTTAAAAGCGGATAAAATTTAATATGAATGTCATTAAAAATGATTAGAAGCATTCATAATTAAGATTTAAAATTTCTTAACCAAATATCCAAGAATAGTATAATATCAAAACTAGTTTTATTATATAATTTTAGGACTTCTAGAATGATATTTTTTAAAAACTTAGCTAAGAAAATCATAATATTCTTTTAAGAACAAATTAGAAATTTAGGGTTCTAAGTTAAGAATCATAGACCAGTTTTAAGAAATAGAATTGCACGTGAATTGGAAATTTAGAATTAAGGTTATTATGCATGATTAAGAAAGGAAACTGAATTAGGGAATATAAGGATGTTCTATTTTTATTTTTTAATTAAGTTAATGGAGTTATTATCTTGTAAAATAAGAAAAAGAAAATTTTGAATACTACAAAAAATATATTATATTATTTAATTAAGTTATCTTGTAATTGGATTTTATTTTATAATTGGATAGTTTGGACAGTTTGAAGGTAAAACTACAAATCAAACCAATTTTATCAATTTAACAATTTTATAATCAAAACTAACTCAATTTTATATCAGTTTGGTTTAATTTTTTTATTGGATTGGGTTTGAGTCAGATCAATCAGATTGTATCGAATATAAATACCTCAACAAGCATTATTCCTTTAAGGTTTAAGTACCATTTTTGGTCCCTCAAATTTCCATTTTGATATCAAAATTATCCCTTAACTTTAAAAAGTACCAAAATTATCCCTAAAATTTTATTTTCGATACCAAAATGATCATTTCGTCAGTTAAGTTGACATGTGACACGTTAAAATGCCACAAAATCATTGCTTTTTTTAATCTTAATGACGTGTGTAATATCCCAAAATTTCGTGATATTTTAGCATTAAGTTAAGGACTAAATCGTAGAAAAATATTGTTTTGGTCTTAATAGCCAAAATTTCAGAAGTTGAGAGATTTAAAAGAGAAAAGGTTTTGGATAAGGACCCGGTATTTTTCCTTCTTTCTTCTTCTTCAGCCCGCGCATCTGCTCTTCTTTTCTTCTCCCCCTGCAGCCGAAAGCCCCCGAGCCCGACAGCCTCCTCTTGAAAAACCAGTGAGAAAGCTTGGTTTTTCCCTTCTTTTCTTGTCCAAGAACAAGATTTAGGAGCTTAGAAACCCTCCCTAAAGCAAGGAATTCCAGATCTGCTCTGCGTCTTCCTCCCTCTGCCGTCCGTGAGCTGCAGCTTGTGCGAATTCTGGGCATTTTTTTGGTAAGAAACAGCCATGATTTCATCCTTTTAGCTTTGATTTAAGTGGGTTTACTTTGAATTGTGTTTTGGTTCTTGAATTTTGGGTAGCCCCGTGAGTTCCCTGCAGAATTTCTCCTTCCATGCTGCCGGCCTTCCCCCAATCTGCAGCTCCAGTTTTAGCTGGAGAATTATGGTATGTGACAGCCCTTTTAAGGCTTAAATTATCCATTTAGTTTGCTGGCTGTGTTGTCCGAATTTGACAGAAAAATGGGGGAGGAATTCCGGCAGCTTTAAGATAAATTTAAGCATTAATTCAAGTGAAATTTATGTGATTGAGTGTTAATTGACTGCTGTGAGAATTTGGAGAAAAATCCCGTGAATTAGCTAGTGTTTTGGCCAATTTTGGAAGTGCAGTCACTGTTCACGCGTACCAGTTACTGTTCACGCAGAAAATTCTGCAATTTGCTACTGGTTTCTGCTCCTTTTCAGTCCGTTTCTGCTCTGAAAAATCTAATGAAATATCCATTTTTCTGGTCTTTTAGCTGGCTGTAGTTGAATTCTGGGAATATCAGTTACTGTTCATGGCAGCTGTTCACAAATACTGTTCACGCACTGATGGCCGACAATTAACGGGGATTTAAATGTTTAGTTTGTAACATAAGAACAAATTTGGAGATATCTGATCATGCGGAGATTGATAGGAATAGCATCGTGATTAGGGGGGTAGTTATGATGATTTTACTTTTGAATCCGTGGTACGATAATTAATTCTTGGATATTTTGATTAGGTTCTTGATCGTTCTGTCAGTTTAGCACTGAGATTGAGTCTTCGGTTTTATGCGAGTGAGGTAAATAAATTATGGTAACGCCTTTTGATTTTAAAAGTATATTTTAACTTGTTTTTGAAGTGGTGGCGGGACTAAACCTGTTTTACACAAGTATGATCGATTGAAATGAAATTTTTATGCTTTTCATTAAAGTGAGCATGCCTACTTGAAATTTAATTGATTGTCCTAATGATTTGAAAGTGATTGGTGAATTACGATTTTTCTGTTAGCCTGTTTTGTCTCCGATGTGGTCACGTTATTAGTGACCCTGCTAGTGGGGGAGTTTATAAACGCTAGCACATGTCGACATGTATTTTTGTAGAGCTGGTTCCTCCTACCAGTGGGAGTTGTTAAACACTGGTATTTCAGTGACCTTGCTAGTGGGGATTATACACCAGCAAATAGTGTGCCTGCCAGTGGGAGGTTTATAACACTGGCCGTGACCTATAGAGGAGACATCTATTTCATTTCCGTAATCATATCTGTTTTTCGTGATTACACTTGTTGGCATGCTATAAGTTTAATAAGGGGCACTCCATATTTTACTTACTAAGTTTATCTCATAGTTTTTTCTTGTCCACCATTTCAGGAAGCGAAACTGAGGACGGGGAAACCACGGGAAGTGACGAGTTAAAAGGCTAGTCATTTCGAGATTGATATAGATTTTAGAAATAAATCATGATCTTGTAAACTAGAGTGTATTTGGAGATTTTAAGATTTTATCTAATACCACAAAATCTGAAGATCGTGAGAGAGTCCCACAAATGCACAAGGCGTGACAAACTAGACTCTCACGAGTGCACAGCGTTTGTCGCGTCTCGGATTTGGGTTCTGGGGTGTGACAACATGTAAGTCTAGCAAAGAAAATTTTGCCACTGTAGCATGTCTTTTACACATTAGATTGCTCCATTCACTTTTTGTGGCGCCCACATGAAAAATTATTTTCTCTTTCTAGTTTCAGTTGAGTTCCCGAAGGCCAAACGAAAACAAACACAAACTCAATACTGACTTCCAAAATTTGGAAGATACAAATGAAATTCAATGAAAAACAAAAGAAAAAGGAAATGAAAAACTCAAACACATTCTAAGTTTTGACATATTGCAAAATGAAACAACTTTTCTACAAAAAAAAAAAAGAAAAAGAAAAAGAAAAGGATTAGAAATATTTTCTTAGCAACCAAACAAAGCAAGAAGTTGAAGAAATAAAGCAAAGAAAAACTAGCTTTACCATCCCAAACTTCCAAATTGGTCAAACCAATCACCAAGAATATGAATTTTATGCTTAGAGCTGTGGAAATGAAGTGAAATTGTGAAATTATTGGAAGAAATCCTAGGGTTTGTTCCGCAAGGAACCCAGAAACTGGGTTCGTCAAGGAACCTCACGTAACCTAGGCTCTGTGTTCATCGAGGAACCTAGAATTGGTTCGTCAAGGGTTCCTCGCAAAACCCAGAACCTAGGTTTTTTAGGGAACCCAGAACCTAGGTTCTTCAAGGAACCTAAGAACCCAGAAACTGGGTTCTTCAAGAAACCTCGCATAACCTAGGTTTTGGATTCGTCAAGGAACCCAAGAACCCAGAACCAAGTTCCTCACGAAACCTAGGAACCTAGAATTGAGTTCCTTGAGGAACTGGGTCCCTCAAGGAACCTAGCATCGGGTTGGGTTCTTCACGGAACCCAGCACCAGGTTTTGTGAACCCAAATCTGGGTTTTGTGAGGAACCAGGATGATGAAGAGGGAAACCCAGCATCGGGTTCCATAAGGAACCCAGATCTGGGTTCCACGAGGACCAGGATGATAAAGAGGAAGAGGATGGTGAAGATGATGAGAAGGATGGTGAAGATAAACGGTGAGATGATGATGCCAAGGATGAGGCTGAGGATGAGGAGAAAGAAGAAGATGACGAAATGAAAGTTAATTAACTTAATTATGTTTAAATTCATTTAATTTATAAATTAATTTTTATTTAAATAAAAAAATAACACATGGAAAAAAAATGCCATCTCATCACTTTTTGCATGGTATGCTTTCCACGTAATTTTTTTTTAAATGTGATTTTTGGCATTTTAATGTGCCACCTGTCCATTTAACTGTCGAAATGATCATTTTGGTATTGAAAATGAAAGTTTAAGGTTGATTTTAGTACTTTTTAATGTTGAGAGACAATTTTAGTACCAAAGTGGAAAGTTGAGGGACCAAAATGGTATTTAAACCACCGTCAATTCTTCCATTAAAATCCTTCCAATTTAAAGGTAAAATAACATCGTTGGTCCCTCATCTTAGTTCCTATGCACGTCGATCCTCAAACTTTAAATTTATTTAATTTGGTCCTTAATATTAACTTTTCTTGTTACAATTTAGTCCAAAACTTTTGAAAGAGTTTCATTTAAGTCTCAAAATTTCTAATTTTATGCATTTCAATCTTTTTTGCACAAATAATAAAAATTATGTAAAATCCAATAAAATTATTTCAACTCATCCAAAATATTAAGAAAATTAAGGTTAAAAGAGTAATCTAAAATATATAAAACTCATCTATTTAAAGTGAAAAATCATATCTTTAATGCTTAATTTGAGATTCTTAAAAATTAAAAAACAAGATATTTAGCTACTTGCATTTATATATATATATATAGCTGGTGTCAAGAAAAATAAAAAACATTATGATACAAAAAAGGATAAAAAGAGATTCTTGCCTTTTTTTTCCTTGTTATACAATCGTAACCATAGAAACATTACTCAAAGCTATCATTAGTCCATGATGTTCATATGACCACATTTACACTACAACCATAAATCATATGCACATCCTTTACAGCTTTATCACTTTAGTTGTAGCATTTCACAAGATTTTAAATTAAGTATCAAGGACATTTTTGGGACAAATGGGTATAAAAAATTTGATTTTATACTTTAACAATATGACTTTTATATATTTTAATTTACTATTTCAAGCTTGATTTTATTAATCTTTGAATGAATTAAATATTTGAATCAGTGTTGTCAATAGATGCCATAGCAGCCGCTATAATGGCATAGCATAGCGGCTAGCTATGGCCGCTATGAAAAATCTCCATAGCGTAACGGGTGAACAATAGCGGTCGCTATACAAATAGCGGGTAGTGGGTATAGCGGTCGCTATTTAAATTTCTTGACCTTTTTTTTTATCAAATTACCATGTTAACCCCACATCAAGAGTTTAGCTTAAAAGTTTTCAAGGTTAATTTTGTCTTTCCAACTTTTCTATTTATAAATTAAAGAAAGAAAACCCTAAAACAACTCATCGCATCTGGTCTCCACATGTCCCGCGCACTCCTTTCGACTTTCTTCTCCTCTATCGGTTTACCCTCACGAGTCTCGATGTCGATATTCTCTCCCACTTTGCCCAACATCTAGTCTCCTCTTAGTTCCCATCGGCCATAGCAAGAGTTGAAGAGTGCAAGGCAACTCTCAGTCTCACAGCTCACCCTTTCACACCTCCTGTAACTGGAGTTACTGGACAGCGATTAAGCACTAATCTGTACATCATATTGTCTCCAATTTCATGTAATCTTTCAAGTAAGCACTAATCTTACTGGACAACGATTAAGCATGTTACAATTTTTTTTTTTTTTTTTTTGGCTTTGGTTTTGCTTTTGCAAGTGTCATCTTTTCTTTTTTTCTTTTTCTTTTTTTTTTTTTGACACCAGATTTTTTGGCTTTGGTTCTACTGCTGTCTCCCTCTTTTTTTTTTTTTGGACACTAGAACAAAAAGTTGGAATTAGAAATAGAAAGTTAGACACACAAAAGCATGTGACAATTATTTTTTTCTTTGCTTGGTTCTGCTTCTGCAATTGTGCCTCTATTTCTTTTTTTTTTTTTTTCTATATTAAAGCAACTAGCAAGTTCCAGGGGCAAGAGAAATTAGAACTTATACTAGGGGACAAGCAAAAAGAAATGCAACTACAGCCTTGACCTCTCAAATTCTAGCACTAACCTTTAGAACTCCAGCCACAACCTCTAGTGTTGATGCAGTTTAAGTTGCTAGAATTAGTGAAGAGGCTCATACTTTAGATCTTTGAAAAGTCAGAGGAGGAAGAAGAGGAGTTTGAGCTTGGTGGAACAAATCAGAAAGACAAGGATGATGATGATTTGGTGGCCGAGTAAAAAGAATTAGAAGCAGAAGAGAGTGATGTGGATTATTAGACTCTTGAATGATTTTCTGTTTTAAAGTTCTATTATTTGACTTTTTTCTGAACTGATCTTGTTTGACTTTTGTACTCTTTAAGTATTTTATTGTCTTGTTTGATCATTCTAAACTATGATTTTTATTTGTTAAGACTTGTGAATATTGTTTTTTTATAATTTTTGATAATTTTTATAAACTCTTAGGTCATTTTATGCCTTTTATTAGTAGATTTGTCTCTTACTTTAATTATTAGATTTATATTTTTATTTTTTTATTAAATGCCTGCTATTTGTCTATAGCAGCCGCTACACTACTTGCTACGCTATCATAGTGGATTTTGGCCTTTCCGCTATTGATAACACTGATTTGAATGTGATTTTATTAGAAGCAGCATAATTTTTATTATGGATTTTTCTTATCGATACTCTGAAGGCACATGTTAAAAATATAATAAATATACTTTGTCGTAATAAATTTGTATTGAAAAAATAGTAGTTAATCTTTATTTTATTAATTATCCAATTAAATTCATCTACTTAACAATAATACTAAAAATAATATCAACTTTTACGTTTTTCTATATTTATCTATAACAAAAAGTACCCTCAAAGGTACAAATTAAAAAAGAGGATCAAAATGCATAAATTAAAAATTTTGAGATTTAAGTGCATTCTTTTAAAAGTGTAGGAAATAAATTGTAAGAAAAAAGTTGAAATTGAGGACCAAATTGAATAAATCTAAAAGTTAAGGATCAAAGTGCATAAGAATTGAAAGCTAAGAGACAAGCTATGCAATTTTGCATTAAAATTTAGAGTATTTAACGGGTGCATGGATGCCGTTATGCTGTCCGTCAATGCGTGGAGGGATGGTAATTGGTCTTTTATCAGGGATATTTATGAGTTGTTTTAAAGCAGAAAGATGACAATGATTTATTTTGCAAAGTTGAGGGATTTCTAGTAACAGTAAGCTAAATTGTTTTACTAAAAAAAAAGGTAGGTTGAAATTAATTTAGAAATTGATGCTTTCAAACTTAAAAATTAAATTTTAAAGTAAAAAAAGCTAATAGTTATACAACCATAATAAATTTGCATCTCACGCACTAACCACGCCCCAAAACCGGCAATAAGTTTTGATGTTTTTCTTTATAAGCCAAAGTTATTTTTTATCATGAGACAAGGAGTATCCAAATCTATGTACACTCTTTAACCTGAGACCACTTCGTTGCCTATCTCATTGCCTTTGCTACAGTAAATTGTCACCCTTCCTAATTTAACAATCCAGTTCGGGCAATAACTTTCCTACTCTTCTTTCCAATTTTATAGATTTTATTAACCCAAGAGTTACATCCTGGTAAGTTACTGTTGCTTTACAAGTCAAATTTAAAATTTAAGTCTTGCAATCACTAATTAAAAATTTAATTTTTTAAAAAATATGAGACTAATTTGAGGAATTTGTCTTTAAAATCTCTTCAAGAGAGATTAATATTAAGATGTATAAAAATTAATTAAAAAATTCCTAACCAGCTTTTACCAGAAAGTTCATTGTGATTTGCAAATGAATGGCTATGATATTAACATTTGATCACTAGAACAAGGTCTTAGCATCAAGGTTTCTTAGAAATTAATGTTATAATAATAGGTTACAAAATATTTACACCATAAATAACACTTAATTTAAAGTTGTCACATGACAAAATTTTACAGTTAGGTTGAGATTTGTTTCCTTGCAATTCGAAACCACAATTACCATGGTGGACCAGCACCACGTATCCAATTAAGGCTCTATGATTGGTTTAAAATGTGCCATATCACCAAGTTGCAATTGATCTGGAGCTTAATCTAGTGTAGTCCACTGCTGAGACCAAAGGTGGCAAAAAGGTAGTGTCCCACATGGCTAGATAAGATGCATATCTCTTCCTAAATTAAATTTTATTTGAATTAGGTGACTAAAAGAGATTTTAGGAGGATATCATGCTAGGGTTAATTAGAGAATATGAAAAGGTCAAATATTATTGGCAAGGTTTCTTAGAAATTAATGTTATAATAACTAGTTACAAACTATTTACGTCATAAATAACAGTTTGTTTGGGGTGTGCTAGTGATGTAGGATGATGAGTCAACAGTGGCGATGACATGGAAGCTGACTACGATGACGCCCAAAAAGATGAGGAGGGTCCTTGTGGCGGCACCCGTTTCACATGCAAAAGGCTACGTGCCATGGGTTACGTGCAATGGGCCATCTCAATCTACCCAGTGGTGTTGAATGATTGTAAGTTTCTAGCGAAGTTTGAGGGTATAAACAACCCAACCAAGTTGAGAGGAGAAGAAAGAGAAAGTTGGGTTGCGATGATGGAGTTATAAGAATCGGGAATGATTATGCAACTACCAAAAATGATAAAGAGGAGGCGTTCATCATTATAAAAGTGACAAGGGTAGAGAATACATAAGAGTTAAGGATTACAACTTGAGAGGCGAATCTATACATAAAACATTGCAATATAATAATTATGGCAATAGATGCACCCTCTATTATCCCTCTCAAACACTTTCACTCTGTAATAAGAAACCCTTATTATATAAATATGAAATACAACAATTTCTTCGTGAAGTTTTCACAAAGACAAAAGGGATAAGTTTGAAAGTAGTGGTGGGAGAAAGAAGGATAACCATTTGGACCTGATCCTTTCTTTTGATGCTAACCACCTGACTTGATCCTCTAATGCTCAAGAAAAATAACTAAAAGACTGAAACTACATTATGTTGCCTTCTAGCCATACTGTTCCACAAAGCTGCAAGCTGTCCAGTGATGCTGGGAATGCAAAATATGTGAAGGTGAATGATGGTTTCAAGGATATTAGGTGTGCATGCTGAAAGATTGGAGGTGAAGAACTTGCTACATGAAGGATGGAGGTTTGGACGTGAGAAAGAGATTGGCATTTTTTTTCTTTATTTGATCTATTTTTCTCTAAATCTGCTAAAACATGAAGGGAAAATAACATATATATGTGTAGTGATATTTTTGTAATTTCTGGATTAATGGGTCAGAGCTGCTTAATAGACTAATGGGTAGATTTGGGTGAGTTGTCAAGCTTTGAGTGGCTTTAGACACTATTGACAGCTTCCTAACAGTGACATTATGAATTACCTAATGGTTCTGACGAAGTTTTGTTGGTCTTATCGAAGGATTGGAAATTACCTCTTTTTGGTAATTTCTCCAGCCATACGCAATCCCACTTCTTGGCAGGTACTTGAGTGTAGTAGGCAAAATAACACCTACATAGGATTTTGGTGGAGTCCCCAGGGTCTGCGTGGGATTTTTGGAAGATTCTCCAAGCAACAGTAATCTTTTCATCAATTCCCAACAACGTGTAACTTATGTAGCTACCTTTGCATTGAATATGGCTACAGGCTGCTGATGGAGACTAAAACATCATCTTTGGTTAATTCTTCATGGGGTTTCAAGCTCTGGGTTAGCATCAGAAAGTACTATTTCAAAAATCAAGCTCACTTTCTCATCTTCACCACTTAGCCCTTTTTGGCGAAGTTGGGCAACATCGCCAATGCCAAGCTTCACTGGTGCGGATACCCTGCTTCACCAGACTGGCAACGTTTAGCCATCCATGCCTACCAAGCCACTACTCCCAAAGTTTATCTTGAATATTTCCCATGAGCTTGGACTCATGGGTTCATGCCCATCTGTAATGAAGGTAGAATACTGGTGAGCATTTGTTCAAATGTTTAAATATAAAATGTACAAATATGTGCAGTAAAGAAGGATACTCTCTTGTGTATTAAAGGAGATGGTGAAGATGAACATGGCTATTCTCTTTCCTCTTGTGGCCATGGCAAACACTTGTATGCTACTGTTATATATGGCTAGTATTGTGCCAAGATAGAAAGCGAGCAATATTGATATGTGTTGTGACATCGTTGTCCTGATCCAACATTCGCTGGTCAACGATACCTACTAACACATGGAACATGGAAGAAATATGTTATGAGTCAGGATTATTGACGACTAATAATTTTGTCCCTTAGTATGAAAGAGTAATGAGGTACATGGTCGTTGGCCATGTCTCACAAGTATCGCAGGGTTAGGCATGAATAGCTTTCTTGTATCCATAGGGACAACAGTGGCTAGCTTTGTCCATGGTTGGAGCGTGAGCTATG